GTAGGGGTTGAGAGGAGCAAGGCAGAGATGCCACTTTTTACCTTGGCATCTCTTTGCAAATAGACCCCGCATTTCTATCTATAGAACTTGCACCCATGCTTACCTGCCCAGCCCAAGTGGGCTCCTGGGTAAGAAGCCTGCATCTACTCCCAAAGCCTGCACCTATGCACGTGCCTGAGTTGAAGCCCGAAGAACTGAACCTGCCAAGGAATTGTTTGGTGAGCTCATTTTGGAGGCCTATCGATATACAGTAGCATCTGCTGAAGGAACTTACATGGCTCCTATTGGCAGAGCATACCCTCTTACGATCTCCAGTAGCTTTATCCACAGTGCTGTTACCCTCAGAGCGACTTTCTCAGGGTCACAGGGTCAGTCTGTAGTAGAGCAGGGACTTGAATCATGGTGTTTTGATTTTCAAGCTAGTCTCCAGCAATCCCAGTCCTCTTGTCCCGCACCCCAAATTGCCCTACAGGAAGGCTCCCCCCACAAATAACTCTAATAGGCTAGCATCAGTCAGCTGTAGACGATACACAGGACTTGGGCATCAGGGTACACTCCAGCATCAACAGCTGAATGCCATTCTCACTGTACAGCTCGTAGGAATAATTACAGCTGCATCTGCTATAAATGCAGTGGACCTGGGTCCCCTCCAACCCATCCCAAGCGGGAGACTCGTGTCTGCCCTGGCATGCTACTAACATGCACGTTTTGCATTGACTTCGCAGGTGAAAGATGAGAAGAATGGCCAAGAAGTGTTTGACCTGAGCGATTACGAGAAATGTGAAGAGCTCAGGAAGTCGAAAAGCAGAAGCAAGAAGAACCACAGCAAGTTCACGCTTGCACACTCCAAGCAGCCTGGGAACACGGTAATCCCCTCTCAGGGGCACTCGGTGGCTCTTGAGCCTAGACAAGAAGTTGCCTTTACATGTGGCAGCGACAGCGCACAGCTGTGGCCTCCACTGACGCCTGCACGGGCTGGACACAGCAGTTTGTGGGGGAGGGTCTACCACCCGCATAATGAGACGCATGATCCACTGTGATCCCCTCTGGCCTTGAGATCTGTGAAGCTCTGTCCATCGCAGGCAACAGCTATTGAGTGATAAGACATAGGAGAATACGCAGATCAGGAGGATTTTTGCTGTTGACTTGCATGGTGTTGAAATCAGGCCTCAAGAGAACTAATTAAACAGGCCAGTAATTTAGCCCCCAGTCCACTAAAAAGGCAGCATATTTTTTGGAGCGATATCAACACAGATCAGAACCTCTGCCAGAAAACAGTGCTACTGGCATCATTAAAGCTGTTTCAGAACAACAGCACGTGGGTATGGTCCTTCACTGATGCTGATCACCCAGGACTCATTAGCTTCTGATGAAGGCAGAATGTGGTCCTGGGTCTCACAACACCACAACAAATTTTAGCTGTGATTCCCGTTAGTTTCTCCCAATCTGGAAAAAAAGATTGACATCTTTCACCAAGCAAAATTCCTTTAAAAAAAAAATTAGCATTGTGGCAATCAAAAGACTGGGTTTGATCAATTAAAAAGGTGTTGTTTAGATGACGACCCTTTTATTTTAAAATATTTTTTCCCTAGACATGAATTGTTTGGAACCATTCCACATTTTCTAAACAGCTTTTCTAATTTTTTCCCCAGCTGAAATGTTATTGACAGACATTGGTGCAACTTTATTTTTTTTTAAAAAGCAATTTCAGTAAAAAAGCCTTTTCTGATGGCAAAATTGCTTTGATAATGATTTTTCTGACCAACTTTTCTATAGTGGTCACACATGCATGTTTCTCCAGACTTTGCCTTCCCTTGTTCTCTTCATTGAGTGCTTGTCTCTTGCTAAAAGAGCAGAGATGATTCAGTGCTTATTGCCCATTGTAACCCCCCAGGCAAAACCTGAGGGTTACAGTGGACAATAAGCTCAATATAATCCAGCAGTGTGCTTTTGCTGCCAAGTAGGCTAACAGCATCTTGGGCTGAATTGGTAGGAGCGTTGCCAGGAGATTGAGGGCAGTGATTCTTCCCCTTTATTCTGCACTGATGAGGCCACATCTGGAGTCCTGTGTCCAGTTTTGGGCCCCCCACTGCAGAAAGGCTGTGGACAAATTGGAAAGAGTCCAGCAGAGGGCAACAAAAATGGTTTGGGGGCTGGAGGGCATGACTTGTGGAGAAAGACTGCGGGAACTGGGCGTATTTAGTCTGGAGAAGAGATGACTGAGGCAGGATTTATTAACAGCCTTCAACTCCCTGCAGGGTGGCTCCAAAGAGGATGGAGCTGGGCTGTTCTTAGTGGTGGCAGATGACAGAACAAGGAGCAATGGGCTCAAGTTGCAGCAAGGGAGGTTTAAATTGGATATTAGGAAAAACTTTCTCACTAGGAGGGTGGTGAAACCCTGGAACAGGTTCCCCAGAGAGGTGCTGGACTCTCCATCCTTGGAGGTATTTAAGACCTGGCTAGACAAAGCCTTGGCTGGGATGAGCTGGTTGGGGCTGGTCCTGCTTTGAGCAGGGGTTGGACTAATGTGACCTCCTGAGGTCCCTTCCCACCCTCATTTTCTCTGATTCTATGACAGAGTTCTCCCAGGCGGAAAGAGGTGTTTTACCAGAACCCAGACTTTGGATGGGAATGTGCTGATTTTGATGAATTTCCTTTTGGAAACAAAAATATCAAACTGCTGCCTTTTGCTTGTGTCAAAACCTTCCATTTCAGCATTTCTGGTCTGGGGACTCCCAATGTTTCCTTCGAGCACTACCTTTTAGTTTGGAAATACATTGTTTTTTTATTTTACACTACAACACTGAAAGAAGGCTGAATTACAAAGAATCATATCAGTTGGTCCAAACTCATTTGTTATCTTTTCAGGAAATTCTGAAATTTCCATTTGATGTTCCAGTTGGGTTGAAATTTGTAATATCAGGATTTTTGATGCCCAGCCAGCTCTGCTTGAAACGAAGGCTGAGTACCCAAGAGCAGAGCTCCTGTGGCCCAGCTGCGAGCCGGATTTATACTTCTCACTCCAGCATATTCTGCCCTTAATGGCTTTTCCTTCTCACTGTGGTGTCTTGCTATATACTGGGGGACATTTTCCTGAGCACCTCAGAAGTAGTGGAAAGTGAAGGCTATGGCCTCCAACCTTGTTAAAAGTGGTGGAAAGTACAGAAACTTTCCAAATGGCAGACGGGGAGAAAAGCAACGGCGTCCTCACATGGTCTCTAAAGGTTCAACCAAAACCAAGACTGTCCCGCTACAGGTTCTGGGCATGATCCTCCACTTGATAGACCTCAAGGTCAGACAGTCTCAGACCAGAATTACAGGTTCCAAAGTGCTCAGTATCCATTGATTGCCATGGAAAATCCAGGTACTTGGTTAGGTGAATAGACACTGGGCTTTTTGGACAATCTCTACACACATCACAACTGCAGAGATGCCCAGACCCCAGAGATGGCCAGAGAAGCTGGTGTGAATCACGTGCTCTCTGTAGCTCTGCACTGATGGTGGGCCTGGTCAGCGGGTGGGTGGGCTGCAAATGCACTGGGGCTTGTCTTCGGGCAAGGCCAGGGTAACAGGGTATGTGTGAGAGCAGTCCGGAGTCCTGACATGCATTCCCATCTCTCTTAGGCACCAAACTTGATCTTCCTCGCAGTCAGCCCAGAGGAGAAAGAGTCCTGGATCAATGCCCTCAACTCTGCAATCACCCGAGCCAAAAACCGCATCTTGGATGAGGTGAGCAGGGCCTGTGGGCTGGGGCCTGTCTCTGTTGTCTCTGCCCTGATCGGAAGTGATCTTCAGCCCATCCTCCTTCCCCTCTAATTCCACCCCACGTGGGACTGCCCTTGTGCTGTTTGCCATCATGGGAGAATCCTGTTGTTGTGGCCATGGGAGCAGAGCAAAACCCTGTGCCCCTCTGCTCTGGGCCCCACCTGCCATTGCATCTGCAACGGGAGTCAATGCAGCTTGTGCAGCCTTGCCTTGTCTGGAAGGTTTGTCTGAGTTACCACCAGTGGCATTTCCTCTCCCTGCAATCTCTATTGCAGCCCAAAGCAAGGACTGCTCGGAAGTCCCGGTCCCTTGGCATTGGGTGAGCTCACAAGTTTTCCTTCTGTGAGTATTTCACAAAGCAAAGCCATTTTCAGAGCATTTGCTGGACTGGTCACCACTGTGGGGAACACTGCTTGTCCATCCACCCTGTGACTTTGCAGTTTGCAGTGCAAGCGTCCTGCAGGCTGGGTGTTCCTCCATGGACAGATCAGTCCATTGTTCCAAATATTGGCTCCCTTGGAGTTTTATCGATGACTCCAGGCAGGCAGGGAAACCCAGCTGAATAAACAATATGCCCTGAATTATCCACCCAGCTCCAAGTGCGGAGGCATGGAGGCCAAGTGGGCTATATCTCCGGGCCATTAGTCAGCCTTTGTCATATGCCTTGCAGGTCACAGTCGAGGAGGACAGCTATCTCGCCCACCCAACTCGCGACAGGGTGAAGATCCAGCACTCGCGACGCCCCCCGACCCGGGGACACTTGATGGCTGTGGTACGTAGGCTGAGTCCCAGGAACGCGGTGCATGAACTGCCTCTCCCATCAGCTGCCATCGCCAGTGATTTATTCTGTGCATAGCTGGAGGATGAGACCATGTCTGACCTCGGGGCTGATGCCCCACTCGGGCGGGAATGTTGTCTGAGGAGCACAGGGTCCTGCTTGTCACCATCAGGCAGCTCTTTCCTGGCTTGGATGATACAAAATGGAGCGTGTCTCCAAGCTCCCCGCAACCTGCAGCTGGGGAGCTGAGGGCCAGGCTAGGGACTTTGTCCTTGGAGTCTGTGTCTGAGCCGGGAGCTGAACTCAGATCTCTTGAATCTCCACCCCTGGATCCCCCTTCCTCCTCATTTCCTGGTCCTTGACCCAGGCGATGGAGGTGTTAGATATGGGCAGGGGATTGAAGATTTCTCTTTGCCCTGGCAATGAAATACTAGCCTTGCCGCCCTCGGGTCTGTGAAACCACGGCCCCCTCCATTCTCCCTGTGTCCTGCAGGCATCTACCTCAACGTCTGATGGTATGCTCACCCTGGACCTCATCCAGGAGGAGGACACCTCTCCCGAGGACCACGGGACCTGTGCCGAGAGCTTCCGCGTGGACCTGGACAAATCCGTGGCCCACCTGGCAGCCGGGCGGCGCCGGTCCGATTCGGAGAATGTCAAGCCCTCAGAGAAGGGTCGGTCAGGGAGCCTCCCGCGGCGGGAGGTGATCTCCTGGGACAAATCGGGGCAGCGTGACACCATCGACAAGGGGCCTGTGTACACGCCGCAGGTCCCCAAGAAGCTCTCTCACTCAGAAAAGAACAAATGTGCCTCCTTGGAGGAGATCCTGTCCCGCCGGGATTCCTCCGCGCACCGGGCGGTGCTGAGGAGGGGGCTCGAGGCCCAGTTTGCCTCGGCGGAGCCGGAGCAGCTGGCCCGGATACAGGAACTGGTTGCACTGAAACTGGAAAAAACTCAGGAACTGCTGACAGAGGTGAAGGGCTACGGGGAAGGGAAACGGAAGACAAAGGATCTCACCACCAGCACCACCCCCTCCGGCACCTCCTCCTCATCCTCTTCCAGGTCGGACTCAGAGAGGATCCTGCAGGAGACGGAGAGGTTGCTGGGCGAGGCCTCCTCAGCCTGGAGCCAAGCCAAGAAGGTGCTGCAGGAGATCAAGGAGCTGAGGGACCTGTACAAACAGCTTGACCTGCCACTCTCGGACTCTAAGCCCAAGCAGGGCTCACAGTCTCAGTACAGGAAGAGCATGATGTGAAGGCAAGCGGGGGAGTCTGGGCGGCAAGGGATGGGGGCAGAGAGGGGGATTTTTTTTATTATTTCCAGTGTTCGAAGCAGTACAAGGTGCCTGTTCTCACCCAGCTTGGCCCCATCCCAACCCTCGTGTTCCCCTCTCCGTGCCCCGTCCCCAGACAAAACAACCACGTGTTCCAATAAACCACTTGGATTCCTCCTTTTTTTTTTTAAAGCCTCCGTTCCCGCTCCATGTTCTGTCCCTGCTGCACTGGTTCCATGCCCCTTGGAGGGCAGAAAGCCCCCAAGAGACCCCAGCTTGCTTGTACATCCATGGGACAGCCGCTCTCGCTTGGTATAAAAGCCCCAGCTTTGCTGTTGTCAGCCTGTGGCTGTGGCCTGTGCTTTGGCTGTCCAACTAAGAGCATTGGCAGCTTGGGCTTCTCTTTCCCAGCCAGCACTTGGCAGCCCTGTTTCAAAGATGCGTCAAGATGCATCCAAGCTGAGTGGGGAGTCAACTGTCCGACCTAGGAGATCCCTACTTGAAGGTGGCCGCGGGAGCCTCCTGGGAGCCATCACCGGACTGCAATTCACTGGGATTTTCACTAGCTCAGGTCCTGCACTGATCCAACTCCCCCCTCACTCGCTGGCAGGCAGCGGCTGTTAGCGTGGTACATATGCAGCCCTCCATCTGGAGGGGACCAGTATGCAATCTGTGGTACCCCTAGCTGTGTGTGTCTGCCCACTCATGCTTTCAGGACATCCCTTCACCCAGTGCAATGAGATTTAACCGTGATAATGTCTTCCTTCCTGCATCTGATCCTCATTATCCACCAGGCAGCCATGCTGTGTGGTTCTTTTGGGTTCCGCGTTTCTTTGCTCAAGTCAGGGTGAAATGGGAAACTGGGGTTTTGGCACAAGGGGCAAGAGAAAGCTAGAAGCTGGCATGGAAGAGAGGCCAGGCCTTATTGTGTCTCACCCGTGCCCACCAGTTTGATGACATCTCTTGACTGGTACTGGTGTCAGATCAGGATGAGACCTGCTGAAACACAAGCTGATCTCAATTGAGAGCTTGGGTATCTTTCCTCACTGGTGTCTAGCACTTTGCTAATTGGGTGGCTTAGCTTTCGGGCATTTAAGTGGCAGGACAAGAGGGGAAATACACTATGATTTCTCCCTGCGGGGGTTGGAAGGACACCGTCAGTGTTACATCCATTTGGCTTTGTTTCATGCTTTTTAAGGAACCAGAAGTCCATACCTATGTTGCAAATAACCCACGGAGTATGAAAAGCAGAGCCGGATCATTAGAGGCTTGATTTCTTTGCGTGGTTTACTTTGTGCAGCTCAGGTGAAAGGAGACGTGTTATTTTAGACTTCCAGGTCTAATCGGTTTCCCTTTGTAGGCTTCCTTTGCTCTCTAAGATTGAGCTGTTTGGGCTACAAACATTGCCTGGAAAGGTTTATCTGGTTTTTTTTTTTTTTTTTTTTTTT